ATTAAATATAGGGAACCAATCTGTTCCTATTATTGTTGCTGAAAAATATTACCTCAAAACTTGGCAACTTAAAATTATAATTTAGTTTATGATTTTACGATGGGAGATCTGAGTAGAGCTCAGAAAGACTTCTCACTTGGGGTCTCTCATCCATTTGTCGTAAGGCATCAGCTGTGGCCATAGTTGTGGGGTTGCTAGCCTAGGCTAAATACCCAAGTAAGGTGGCTCACTCTCATGATAGCAGTTGGTGTTGCTGTGGCCTGAGAGCTCTGCTTCCTGACATCTGGAGGGTCTCAGGGGGCGTCTCCAGCATATGATCTCAGCATAGACATGATGCTTTCTTACATAGCCTCTGGCTGCCCCCAGAGCAAGCATCCCAGAAGAACTGGATAGCAGCTGTGTAACCGCTTCTGATCCAGCTGCAAAAGTCATGTGTCACTTCCATCCACCACATTGCATTAGTTCACAGAGGCATTATGAGGCCAGACCAGATTAAAAGGGAGAGGGATTTGACTCCATTTTTTAATGGGGTTGGAACAAGTGTGTATTGAATAAGAGCACATTGGATTGGAGATATGATTAATGTCATCTTTGAAAAATGCAAATGTCTAGATTTATATGAATTTCTTGACAAAAAGAATGGCCTAATATAAACAAAGACTGATATTTTTAAGATTTGCAAAAGAGTGCAGCTTTGCCACCATTAAGTTAGGGTTATATTGACCACGAATAGCTTTTAGGAATATATTTGTTGGGAACATATGCTTATTAAACTGAGAGGCCAGCATCCACAGATGGAGCTTAGTATTATAGATAAGCTGTCAAAGGCTTTAACTTCATGGGAACAATGATGAATGCAGCAAGAGCAGGGACTGACCAGACCAAACCAAACCAAACCAAACCAAACCAAAACTCCACCCAGGATCAAGAGCTCTAGGTAAAATATTTGTGTGTGACATACATTTTAAAGAGATTTCAATTTCCAGGAGAATATACATTTTAATTGTATTGTGCAGAAAAAGAAAAAAAAAACACCACTTGTCACAGACAAGCAGATTTGTAATCAGCAAGATAGCTTCTTATTGACGATAACTATAGATACCATTAATTGGGATTCAGCTAAACACTGCAGTAGGATATTATTTTGCAGGATATTTTATTGAGTTATCAGCAAATTTTATGGAAGATACAAGAAAACTGAGGCCTAGAGAGCCTAAGCAACTTGCCCAATGATCCTAAGAATCAAGAAGACAAAAATTCAAATAAGTTTTATAAAAAGATGTAAATTTAAATATACAAAATAAGAGATATTGTCTGCCCATCACCAAGCCTCAGGAATTATCAACTAATGCCAACATTTTCTGATATATCCTCAAGACTTTTCCCCCTCCCATATTATTTTGAAGCAGACATAATTTATTTTTTAAAAATATGTTTTTATTGATTTCAGAGGAGAAGGAGTAGGGAGAGAGAAATAAAATCATCAATGATGAGAGAGAATCATTGATCAGCTGCCTCCTACACACTTCACACTGAGGATTGAGCCCACAACCCAGGCAATGAACAGCATACTCCTGGTTCATAGGTCAATGTTCAACCACTGAGCAAGGCCATCATTTCATTTTAAACAACAAATATATCAGTATATTTCTATGAAATATTAAAAATTGTATATAGCACAATAAAAACAACCAGCTCATATCTAAAAGTAAAATTTCTTAACATCATCAAATATTTATTCAAAGTACAGATTTTCAATCACCTTATAAATACTATATGTTTTATTTTACAGTTTATTTGTGTAAGTTGGAGTCCAACTGTATACATATATTGCAATTATTTAAATATCTCTTATGTGTCTTTTAAATTATAGTTTCATCTACATTTCTTCATTTTTTATGCCTGTGAACTGAAGGGTCCCCAGTTCGATTCCAGTCAAGGACTCATACCTGGGTTGTGGGTTTGATCCCCAGTAGGGGGTAGACAGGAGGCAGCGGATAGATGATTCTCATTTGTGTTTCTATCTCTCTTTTTCTCTCCCTTCCTCTCTGAAATTAACAAAAATAGATATGTTTTAAAAAGATGTTTGTATGCAAATTCTTCAGACAAAAATGGTATTTAATTTACCCCAAGCATTTTCTTTTCTTATAAAATTTATATAACAGTATAATCATTGTCAGCTATCCAAATATATCATTTCTTTCTCTTCACATCTGAAATTTATTAGCACTTTAGCATTGAACAAACGTTAATAGAACCACTAGAAATTAAGTCCAACAAATATAAAAGTAAGCAAACTGAAAATTAAGGGACTTTGGCAAAGTAATGATGAAATGTAAGCAGTAACTTCTTTTCAAATTAAAGGGAATGTGCCTCTTTTTGGTTAGAGAATACTAATTATCAAAGATTTGGCAGAAGACTACCACTCCTAATTGCATGAAATCAGCAAACTGACATTTCTGAAAATGGCACTGATCACAATATAGTGTAGTTGAATAAGCCTTTTACAAGGCAGCTGTTCTGGTAGTTGGTTTGCTGATTGTCCCTGAAAACATTTTATTCTTATTATTTCTCTATGAAATAACTGTTTCTGTGTGCTATTGGAGTATAACTTATGCATGTTTAAAATCAGTGCGTTTTTATTTTTTAAATTGAAGTTTTACTGAATTTATTGGGGTGACATTGGTTAATAAAATTATACAGGTTTCAGGTTCACAATTCTATAATGCATTATCTGTTTATTGCATTATGTGTTACCACCTCAAGATGTGTTACCACCTCAAGTCAGGTCTTCTATCACTATTTATCCCTGCTTTCTCTTCTACTGCCTCCCACCACCCACCTTGTCCTTTGGTAATCACTACACTGTTGTCTGTGCCCACGAGTTTTTTTTTTCTTTTCCTTTGCTTAATCCCTTCACCCTTCTTACTCAGTCCCAAACACCCTACCCTCTGATAGCTGTCAGTCTGTTATCTGTACCCATGAGTCTGTTTTCCCTTTGTTTGCTAGTTTATTCTGTTCATTAGATTTCATGTATGAGTGAAAGCATATGCTACTTATCTTTCTCTGACTGGCTTATTTCATTTAGCATAATATTTTCCAGGCCCTTCCATGCTGTTGCAGAAGGTGAATGCACCTGATCACATCTCCCCTGCATTTTAATATTCACATCCTATATGATAAAAGCATAATATGCTAAGTGTCTGGCGACTGGTAGGCCAATCAACTAATCAATGCATAATATGCTAATGATATGCTAAGGCGACTCAACTGCTCGCTATGATGGGCACTGACCACCAGGGGGCAGACAGTCTACCAGTTTCCAGTTGCTAATATGTGCACTGACCACTAGGAGGCAGATGCTTTGGTAGGTTAGCTTGCTGCTGGGGTCCAGCTGATCTGGAGTGAGCTAGAAGGGCCAGACACATCCTGGAGCCCTCACATAGTTCCTCCCCAGCTGGCCAACCTCCTGCTTCCCTCCCCAGCCAATTGTGCCCTGGTGGGGTCCCTCAGCCTGGCCTGTACCCTCTCATCATCCAGGACCCCTCAGGGGATGTCAGAGAACTGGTTTCAACTCAATCCTGCAGGTCAGGCAGAGGAACCATCACTGGTGCATGAATGCATGCCCCAGGCCTCTGATTTAAAATAATTTTGATCACTGAAATGGGAGTTAGACTTTGTTTTTAGAGCAGGTGATTTTAGATATATTTTCTGTAATTTTCATGGCTACCTTGATATGCGCTTACATGACATTCAAAATTGGAAGGGTATCTTCTTCCCAACATAGCAGTCATTGTATGCCTTGTTGTAACTTTTTAAAAATTGAAAATTGAACATTGAATTATATTTTCCATGATGATGTGGATAATTTTTCTCTTGTTCCTACTCTCTCTCCAGTGCCTAATAAGTTGATGGTGTCTAGGAGATATTCAATAAAGTGTTGTTGAATGAATAAAATAATGATTTGTAGTACTTCATATTTCAGATATGGTGGAAATTTTGAAAAATATTTCTGATTTATGCTATACACTTTAAAATTCAGAAACAATTACATAATTTAAGTTAACAGAAACTCAAATGTTGAGTGACATCCTTTATCAATATGAAACGGTCAATGGAATAAAGAAAGGCAAACATATATGTAATTTAATATCTTTCTCCATTAACATTCAAAATGTTGATTTATTTTAAATGCAATTCATTTTAAATAAAAACAGTTCATCCTTATAAATCTAGTTGAGTAAATATGTTTTAATACCATAGAACATTTGTTTGGTTAATGTGTTTACATTTATAAACTAAAATAACTCAGTTACTTAGATTAAAATTAAAAGTGTAAAAAGAGAGCTTCATATAGTAAATTTTGGACAAGCCACACTAACAATTTTAATTCGTTTTATTGTAATTCCATCAGTCATAAAACATCAAATAAATTGATATGGTTTGGGGATTCCAATTAAAATGGAAAGAACTTCCAAAGTTTGGATAAATTTTTAAGTTGTTGATGCAACAACATGGTTGTATATTTATATAATTTTAAATGTAGATCTGTGACGATGTTAGGTTTATCAAAAGGATCTTTACATGATAATTTGGCTAAAGCTCTTCTTTACTGACAGGATATGTATTAAAGGGTACAGATTTACAAATAGCTTGCACTTAACACATCAAAATGATAACTTTCTAAAATAAGAACAATGAGCTATAATATACTGTATACTAATTATTTGAGCCATACTCTTAGAAAATATTATTTTTGCTCTTATGAAGAAGAGTAATTAATAAAAATAACATGTCCTGTTTACTGAGAAAATCAGACTTGGTTGGAAAAGGTAAAGCTGATATTTTTAAACTAGAATAGATATAATACATAGAAAAGAAAAACATGATACTTGCAAAACTATCATTGCAACATTAATTTCCTTATAAACACATCCTTTGTGACTCTGCAGTGATGTGTCCCATTTTGCTGACTGAAATGGCTTTTATTCTCATACTAGATCTGGATAAAGTGCCAACAGATCTTCCACCTGACACTACGCTGCTGGACCTGCAAAACAACAAAATAACTGAAATCAAAGATGGGGACTTTAAGAACCTGAAGGACCTTCATGTAAGAATGTTTTAAAAATTTTGAGTTGTAACAAGATCTGACTCAAAGTATTTTTCAAAATAAAACTTAGGTAAGGCCAAGAGTACTATGTGGTAATAAATAAGCACCTAAGTGTTTATCCAATTCTCTTAGAAGGTGATAGAAGACCATATCATAATAATCATTAACCCCTAAAAACCAGCCAATTTTTTTATAGTATACAGCATATATACTGTACTTAGTATTTTCTTCTCAAGACTACCTTAAATCTTAATCTCTCTCATGTTTCATGAATAAAAGTCTTCATCTTCCCTTATATTGTACTTCAACAGTGAAATAAAATAGACTAATCTCAGTATTATTTTATTTCTTTTGTTCATAGTATAAGAAGTGCAAATAACTTTGTAAGGTTGCAGATTGGCACCAAGAGAAAAAGGGGTAAACATGTATATTTTATTAATTATAATTTCATCTAAATTCCATAATTCCATTAACACAAACACACACACACACACACACACACACACACACACACACAAGGCCTCACAGAACTAGGGAGTCCCAAAGTCATGAGAAAGGTGGGGAGCTATAGTCCTATCTCCTGATTCCTTGCCAGTGTATTCTGTGGTTAAATCTAACTGGAGATCAGAGGACAAAGACATATAGTTGATGAAGTCATCAGAGGACAGCCTCCCAGGACATCAAGAAGAGTCAAAAATATTCTTTGAAGAGAATGAATATTCTTTGTCATTTGGGAGAAGTTGCATTAAAAAATGAGATATGCCAACCTAATGAAGTAGGTTTAAGCCTTGCTCAGGTAGCCTTCTGTAAGAGTATATGTACTGTCCACATAGGGCATCAGAATCCACATAAAATGTATTATGTAGTCCAGCTTTACACCTGTGGTTTCCCATCAAAATATCATTGCATAGTTAGTGTTAATAAGCTAGACTTTAATGTCCAAAGAGAGACTAAAGTCTTATTGTCTCTGTACTCTACTGTGCTAAGCTACTCTTAAAATATCGAGTCTAGTTGTGGACATTTTTAGAAGGGCATTAACCGTAGAGCATCTGAAGAATAATCATCATGAGGATAAAGAATCTGGAAAGTATGTTTCGGTGGCAGTTGATGGGGATGTGGATATCTAAACTGCATGAAAAAGGTCCTGAGTGATACATTTGAAGGACCATGCTGGAGAAGATAAGTTGAAATTTCTTCCTTCAACTACAAGATGCCAAAATTGTCTTATTGACAATTGAATGGAATTTTAGGGATGCAGATTTTTGTTCAACAGAAGAGTAAGAGTTAGAGTTAGAATTTTTAAATAATGTAGAGGATTGCCTAGTGATCAGTTACTTATCTGTAGCAATAAATACCATAGAAATACATTCTTAACCTTTTAATGTAAAAATAGAACACTCTAATTTAGCATTCATTTCTTTCTCTCTCTTTTTTTTAATTGTTGACACTATTGTACATGTCCCCTATTTCCCTCCCTCTCCTTACCCACCTCTACTCAACCCCTTTCACCCCTGCCTTTGACTATCCCCACACTGCTGTCTGTGTCCATGGACTATCATATATGTTCTTTGGCTAATCTCTACACATTCATTTATCCAGTCCCCCCAACCTCTTTCTCCTCTGACCTCCGTCATTCTTTGCCATGTATCCATGCCTCTGGTTTTATTATATTTTTTAATTATTTTTTTAATATATTTTATTGATTTCTTACAGAAAGGAAGGGAGAGAGATAGAGAGCTAGAGAGCTAGAAATGTCGATGAGAGAGAAACATCGACCAGCTGCCTCTTGCACACCCCCTACCGGGGATGTGCCCGCAACCGATATACATGCCCTTAACCAGAACTGAACCTGGGACCTTTCAGACCGCAGACCGACACTCTACCACTGAGCCAAACCAGTTTTGGCTGGTTTTATTTTGATAATCAGTTTATTTTGTTCATTATATTCCATATATAAATGAGATCTTATAATATTTGTCTTTCTCTGCTGGCTTATTTTGCTTAGCCTAATAATCTCCAAGTCCATTCATGATATTGCAAATGGTAAGTGTTCCTTCTTTTACAACCCTGTAGTATTCCATTGTGTAAATGTTCCACAGTTTTTTTGTCCTCTTGTCTACTGAAGTATACTTATTTCTCTTAACTGTTATAAAAAATAATTGAGGGGTTGTAAGAATAAGTAATACACAGTAAAAAAAAAAAAATAGTCTGGCTGTATCTATAATAATAAAAGTGCAATATGCTAATTAGACCAGATGACCTTCTCCAGAAGCCAGGGCTGCAAGGGCAGATGCAGATGAGGCTGCCATGGTGGCACGGCCCTGAGCCCCTTGCATGAATTTCAAGCATTGGGCCTCTAGTAAAAATTACATCATTTCCCTTGAAAATATTAAAAATATATTTCAAGGGAAATAATGTAATTTAAAGTAAAATGAACTGATCATAATATACTATACAATTCATATAATGAAGACAAAAATGTATTGTAGTTATCAACTTTGTGACAGCCAAGATGAGAAAGGCAATAACCATTTATCCATTAGGAGAAAAGATACAGTACTTTAAAAGAAAGCATAGATTTTTTTTTTCTTAAGGCTTAATGATTCTCACCCAACTGGTATAGCTCAGTAGTTGAATGTCAAACTATGAACCAGGAGATCATGGTTTGACTCCCAGTCAGGGCACATGCCCAGGTTGAGGGCTTGAACCCCAGTGTGGGGTTTGCTGGAGACAGCCATTGATGATTCTTTCTCATCACTGATGTTTCTAGCTCTCTCTCAAATCAATAAAAATATACTAAAAACAAAATTTAAAGATTCTATTTGAAATAGTTAATTAGAATAATAGTACATATAAAGTTATGTTGTCAATCTATTTAAGTGTCCAGCAATATAAGCACAATATAATATCAGTAGTGAATGATATGAGCACCAAATATGAGAAAAATATCAGGTTACCAGTGTGTTGAAAAAATATAGAACAAAAAGGTCTTATAATATTAACAGAATTTAAAAAAAAATGAGGATTTTTTTTATTGATTGTGTGTGTGTGTGTGTGTGTGTGTGTGTAAAAAGAAAGAAATGTAGAAAAAAATAAGAAGCAGACAAATAAAAATAGAGCCAAGACCGGATTGGCTCAGTGGATAGGGCGTCTGCCTGGGGACTCAAGGGTCCCAGGTTCGATTCTGGTCAAGGGCATGTACCTTGGTTGCGGGCATATCCCTAGTAGGGGGTGTGCAAGAGGCAGCTGGTCGATGATTCTCTCTCGTTGATGTTTCTAACTCTCTATCCCTCTTGCTTCCTCTCTGTAAAAAATCAATAAAATATATGAAAATAAAAATTTTAAAAATAAAAATAGAAAGTGGGTAGAATGAAAGATCCACAGTCCAAAGTAGCAGAGGAGCTAGAGGGCTCAAACCATGGCTAACAGGATCCACCTCCACTAACAGGTTATTGGGCATTGAGCACTCTCTCTGCCTTTCATGTATGGTTTCACTGAGAGTGAGCCAATTATGTTGCCAACAAGGCTTGTCAATGACTATTTCATTTGTTACTGGACTAAACTAAAAGGGGTATTAATAAAAAAGAATATCATTAGTTTCAAGAAACTAAAATATTTTAAAAACATTTTTTATTTTCATAAGTTTACCCTCAAGCTACTTTTCTTTAAAAAATATTTTTATTGATTTTAGAGAAAAGGGAAGGGAGAGGGAGAGAGATAGAACTATCAATGAGAGAGAAACATTAATTTGCAGCCTTCTGCATGCTCTCTACTGGGATCAAACCCACATCCTATGCATTGACCCTGACTGGAAATCAAACCTTTGATTTCCTAGTGCATAGGTTGATAATTAATCACTGAGCCACTCTGGCTAGACAAGCTACATTTTATTAAGAAAAGAAAATGCTCTTTCTCTAATTCTAATTTCCTGTATGTTTAACTATAATCTGAATAATTTGTTTAAACTTCTCATAACCTGAAATAAGAGATATCAAGTTTCTGGATGTTCTCATTAAATCTGGCATTTATAATAATGAGTCTTTCTTTTCCATATTTCCTTCTAAGGATGCTTTTAGGCAATTATCATCTTGGCAATCTTTCTACTTCAAAGTATACATTGGAAGAAGAGAGAGAGTTTATTAGAACTTTAACCACTCAGTGAATGTTAAACAGTTATTTTTCTCTTACTCTTCCATTCATGATAATTTCTATCTTTGTTATTATGCACATAAACACTATAATTTCAGATAGGAAAGCCACACTTGAATGAGAAGGGAAAATATAAATGAAAATTTAGCAAGGATTAAGTTAAAATAAAAATGATTTAACTGAAAAATTCCTTTTTCTCTCCTTAATTTGATCAGTTTACAAAATGATTACCACAGTAAGGTTATCACAGTAAGGTTAGTAAACATCTATCATCTCATATAAACATTAACTCTTTTTTCATTATGGGAAATTTTAGGATTTGCTCTCTTAGCAGCTTTCAAGTATACCATAGTGTTAACTATAATCATCATGTTGTACATTACATCCACAATAGTTATGTATCTTATAAACAAAATTTGTATATTTTTATGACTTTCTTGGATGAAGGTGGTGAAAATACTTTTGCTCATATTTCTACCCAATTTCTATTGCTCATCACCTTTTTTATTGCCTCTCCCTGCCTCTCAGGCTGGATCACTTTTATCTTTAGTTACCAAAGAAATGCATGGTTCAATTTTTTTTTTGAGTAGTACTCAAGGCATTTCTTATCCCAAACCACACATTCTCTTCTAACTCACTTCTCTTGGCTTAAATTAACTAATGATAACCCATTTCTGCTTGTTTTTCTTTTCATCAGTTGATTTGAAGATCACCTTCGACTTTTTCTCTGGCAGCTGGACTTTGTCATTAACCGGTGTACTTAGCTTTTCCCCATCTCAACATTTAGCCTTTGCCTGTTCCTTAATAACTATGCTTTCTTAAATACATATCCCTTTGTATGGAACTCACATTAACTGTCTTTAGCAATACTGTATATACATGAATAACTTTTTCATGAGTGGATCTGTTTAGCTGAAGTTTTAATTTACAGAGACCTTTAAATTTTACCTTATTATGACCAAAATTTTTAGTTTTATTTTTTTCAAATTTGTTTTATTCTGAAACTAGAGATGCTTTTCACTGGACTATAACTTACAAAAACAATAATATTTGAAAGTATAACTTTGCAAAGAAGCAGTCTGTACACCTGTCATTAATCCTCATAACAGTCCCTCTAGATCAAGCATGTCAAACTTAAAGGCTAACACGGAGCAAATAACCGGCCCATGAATTTGACATGCTTGCTGTAGGTGCTATTATTATTCCCACTTTACTGAAGAAATAATTGAGGACAAATGTCACGTGCTCACAAAATTTAGCAGCAGATATTGCTGCATTGCATTCACAGGTAGAAGCATTATTTAGTTATCATCTAGTCAACGGCATAATATTCTATTACCTGAAATAGCAGGTAATACATCATCAGGTTGACTTTTTAAAACATATTTTCAAACCATGTTTAATGCATTTAATTATAATTAAGCTTTCAGAATTTTCCTCCACAGATGGCAACTGAAGATTTCCTTTGCACTTAGAAGTAAGCATCTACCATTTTGGGTGTATTTTAATGGCACAAGTCCTCTCAGTCTTTCTCTAGCTCTGGTTTTTACTGATTTCCTGGACATTTTGCTTGTTAATATACATTTATTATTATGTAAACGTTTATAAGTTTTTGAACTTTCTCTAATATTCATTAGAATTTCTTAGGATTTTGTTTCAATCATCAATGCATTGTTTAAGATTTGATAAAAATTATAGTAGTTGTAATAAGTTTTAACTAGTCAAATAATGTGAACTGCATGAAGATGTACCTGGTTTAATTAACCAGCTGTTAGTAGGAGAAAATATTCTTGCATTTCTGAAAATGAAAGTTACTGCTTTTCTGTTACTCAAATTCCTTTTGTGTCCCAACAAACCCTAGCTCATTTGGCTCAGTGGATAGAGCATTGGCCTGCATACTGAAGGGTTTCAGGTTCGATTCCAGTCAGGGGCCCAGGCCTGGGTTGCAGGTTCAGTCTCTGGGAGGGGGTGTGCAGGAGGCAGCCAATCAATGATTTTCATCATTAATGTTTCTATCTCCTCTTTTCCTCTCCCTTCCTCTCTGAAAACAATAAAAACATGTATTTTTTTAAAGTGTACTACAATTGTAAATGAAGGGGCAGGAGCAAGGGGTTGGGGGACAAGGACGAAAGAAAGGGGACATCTGTAATTCTCTCAACAAGAAAGAGTTAAAAAGAACTTGATAAAATTACCCTCTTAATTAGGATTAGTTGATAAAGAGACTTAAAATAAGAATGGTGGATCCTTAGACATACAGACTGTTAGAAAAAAATTAGATAATCCAGAAATAGGTTTGGAAATAGCTATAAGTATATAAATAAGAAGTAATTTCATATATTAGGAGAACTCAGAAACAGAAATTTAAAAATTTGTCAAAATCAATAATATACTTGGCCATATAAAAAAGGCAAAAAATAGAAGAAAAGTATATTTATGCTCTGCATATCATATCAACTACACCTTTATTCTCTTAATTGGCTATTAAAATTTATTAAAATTTAATAAAAGTGAGAAGCAGCCAAAACCCGTTTGGCTCAGTGGATAGAGCGTCAGCCTGTGACTGAAGGGTCCAGGGTTTGATTCTGGTCAAGGGCATGTACCTTGGTTGTGGGCACATCCCCAGTAGGGTGTGTGTAAGAGGCAGCTGATCCATGATTCTCTCTCATCAATGTTTCTAACTGTCTATCCCTCTCTCTTCTTCTCTGTAAAAAATCAATAATATATATATATATATATATATATATATATATATATATATATATATATATTTAAAAGTAAGAAGCATTGTGATCGGGCAATTCCTTCCCTTCCCCCCAAATACAGTAAATGATAGTAAATGAATGGAACATTTTTTAAGTTTTCAAGTGACAAGAAAATTCATAGTAAAGTAACAAGCTATAATATAATGAACTAATTTCAAAAACTTTTGATACAGATTATATCTAAAATTTTGAATCTTTAAGAAAATTTTACTATTTTGCACTGCTGGTGATAGTATAGATTGATGACGATTTGTAGTGGAAATCTATTACAACAGTTAATGAAGATGGATGTAGAGGTTGAAAACTGAAGAATGGATGCCTTTCCAGGTATCTTATATCATTCTAGTAACTTCAATCTTTAGAAATATTATATGGATATATATATATATATATATATATACATATATTACATTATATTTTCCTCTTCTTTATTCCTGATGTTCAGGTCTTCATACACTTTTTTGTTGCTGTTAATCCTCGCCTAAGGATATGCTTTCCATTTCTTTTCAGAGAGAGTAGAAGGAAAGGGGAGGAGAAAAAAGAGAAATATTGATGTGATGTGAGAGAGACACATGGAGTGGTTGCCTCCCACACACATCCCAACTGGGGTTGGTGAGTGAACCTGCAACTCAATTGAACCTACGACCCTGAGCCACACAGGCCAGGGAAGACCTTCGTGCACTTCTTAAAGGAATCACATCTGCTTGATCTTTACTGATTTCTTGCAGCTTTTCAGGTTTCTCTGCTCGTTCCATGAATGGAATGAATAGACTACACACTTGTTTTATATATGTGTGTGGAAAGTTTTGGAATTAAGAAAAGGTTGTTTTTGTTCCCTATCTATAGACATTGATTCTTGTCAACAACAAAATTAGCAAAATCAGCCCTGGAGCATTTACACCTTTGGTGAAATTGGAACGACTCTATCTGTCCAAGAATCAGCTGAAGGAATTGCCAGAGAAAATGCCCAAAACTCTTCAGGAGCTTCGTGCCCATGATAACGAGATCGCCAAAGTGCGAAAATCTGTATTCAATGGATTGAATGAGATGATCGTCATAGGTACGGATATTCTTATAACTCTAAGACCAGGATTCACACTTCACCTTAAGAGATTTCAAGTAAACCTAGCTGCAGGAAGGTAAAATAGCTAGAATGTAAATGTCTTAAACTTATTGGAATGGCAGAAGTAGGGTCAGAAGAAATGGGATTTTGAATCTGTGCCTTACAATGTTTTTATTTCTTGTCCTTAGGGATCTTAAAATGTAAAGAAAGCTCTAGAGCTGAAGTTACTCTACTGTATTTGAGATGCAGGATGTAATTCAATAGTACTTCATTAGAGATATTTGGTGATACATTTTTATTTTGGGGATTAATGCTATTCTGAACATATATAAATCATTTGCTTTAAAATATGTGTTCTAATGTTTTGCATTAAAACACTAGTATTGTAAAATTATTATTTATAATTGGCTTACAAAATGTTAGATTAAATTATTTAACAACATCTTTAATGTATTTTAGGAAAGTAATAGCCTCATAATTTGTAAATACTTGCTTTTGTTGACTTCTGGGCAAAGCTATGTATGCAACTTAAATAATGTTTTTCTTACTCTTTTATAAATATTTGTTTTTTGTTGTTATTTGTTGTTTCTTTTAGTAAGGGCCATTTTTTTTTTTACCAGATTTTACAATCCCTTTGAGGAGCATTGTTTTCATTTCTCTTTTGTTTTTCAGTCAGGATGTTATCGAATCAGATTTCTGGTAAAATCTTTGTTAGACACTTGCAACTGTCTTAAACTGTCCTCTAAAAGCTCTGTGCTTACTGCATTCATAGAACTGGGCAGCAACCCGCTGAAGAGCTCAGGGATTGAAAACGGAGCCTTCCAGGGAATGAAGAAGCTCTCCTACATCCGCATTGCTGACACCAACATAACCGCCATCCCTCAAGGTGATAGAAAATTCCCCAAAGCAATTTGAACATCCAAATCCAAAGGCTTGTACACAAGCCTAAAAGAGAGCATTTTAGAAATTTGAATGGTGACTCAAGTGGACAACTTATTTCTAGTAAATTTTCTATCCCTGGAAGTGTTTCTGCTGAGCTTGGTTGACTACTGGGCCATCTAGACTCATTGTAGAGGTGAAGTCTTTTCTAAGATGTATCTTAATGTATGTACCATGGTTTTACATGATACAATTGTGATTTCACAAAGAAAAAAAGAACACCTATTTTAAGAAATAGAGCACCTTAGTAGTAATTTTTTAAAAAGAGAGAGGGAATGGGGGGATGAGGAAACATACCTTAATCAACAAAGAAATCAAACAAATAAAAAGAGAGAAGAGGGAGAGAGAGAGATATCTGGGACTTTGGACAAGTTATTAAAATCTGTGCCTCAATTTATTTATTAGTGAAGTGAAAATAATAATAATATCCACCTCATTGGATTGTTTCAACATTAAATAAATAGAGGAATATCTGGCATGTAGATAAGTAGTGGGTTCATTACTTTATGTTGTTTTAGTTTAAAATATTTGAACACTCATTTTGCTTAGTCAAAGTTCCAACTCAGTGAATAGGATATACTACCTGCCTTCAAGGAGCTTATTGCCTGAAGCAAAGCCAAACAGTTACACAGCAGTCACCACACAGTCATAGGATAAGCTCATTTTGTGAAGGGCTACCCAGGAGAGATGCATCAGCCAGTCTTTGTGAATCAGAAAAGGCATTAGGTCATCAAAAATAAGTTTCCCTGTCTTAGATTCTTTAGTCTCACAAAAAACCCTTTAAAGTCTCAAATTTTCCTTTCAATCTGGCCCTCCTCAATGTAGATGTCTTTTTCTTTGACTAGGTAAAAAATGTAGCTTCTTGCTCACAGAAACAATGACCCTTTATTTTGCTTCCATGGAAACTTCATCTCTTGAGAATGCATATTCCATATACCACCCCTTGCACTCTCCACAGTCTGCACTACAGAGGATGTTTTGACTCATAATAACAACTAGCATAGATGGGTAGATAGATACATAGATAGATAAGGGAGATTGACTTACAGTTCATAAAGCACATTCCTGTTGAGTATCTGATTTTTTGCATGTAATAGTGATCTTTATCCCAATGTAGGGGTTATATACATTTAATATATTTTATTTATATTTATGTAGTTATATTATATATATATATATATGTAAATTTATCTATCCAAATCTCTATCTATCTATCTATCTATCTATCTATCTATCTACCTATCTATCATCTATCTATCTATATTTTGTATAAAGCATTAGAGCTGAATAAGGTGAAGTAGAGTAGCTGGAATTTAAAGTGCAGGTCTTTAAATTTCACTACTTCATGCTACCAGATGGTTTGCTTTAAGAACAATCTTTGATTTTTCTGTCCTTGATGTACCTTCCTAAATATCCCTCAGTAACACTTTTATCACCGAGGCATCTATTTTTCTTGACTTTCTTATGTCCTTTCCCTATCGTAGGTGCTCTTTTCTCATCTTGCTTTTATTTGAGAATCCTTAATAACATTACAATTATAGTAACTACATTTTATTCAGCACTTGATCCAAATGCCTATCATGGGTTCTGTTAGATGAATTTCAAAACAATCCTCTGTAAATACTATTTTCACACCTGTTGTATAAATGAGGAAAATGAGTCATAAAGAGATGAAGTAAATTGTGATCAATGTCTTGGAGCTGGGAAGTATCAGAACTGGGGTTGTCAGAGCTCTGGTGTTTGACTATTTCACTCTGCTGTCATTTTAAGCCCTGTCTCCATGCACATTTATATATGTATCTAACATATGAGTCTGTCTTTCTTAGGCTGAGACCCTTCAGCCTGAATATCACCAACCTTCAGGAAGTCTTAATTTCTACATGTTATTTTTTTTTTTATCACTAATGGACACAGGCAGTTGGGTGGAATGGAGAGATTGTAAATTTACTCTTGAGTTAGACCAACCTGAGTGAGAGGCCTGACTCAGCCTTTTAATTGCTCTCTGACTTTAGGCAAATTATTGCACATCTCTACAGCCCCAGTTTTGTTATCTATAAAATTGGTGACATCTATCTCGAGAATGAATATTTGTGAGGATTAATAGATACAAGACTTGTAATGGGCACACATAGTATTGGGCCCAAAGTCAGATGTCAGTATGTTTTGTCTTAAAATGAAAATAGAAAGGAAAAATAAAGTAACTATAGTTTAGATTCTTTGACTCAATGCTACAGTGCCAAGGCTATGATGTTCTTTATGAATTTGACATCACTATCCTGAGCAAAATTTTCTTCCACAGTCATACTTCTTCCTGGCTATAACTTTCCTTTTGGGAACCTGACATCCCCAAAGGGAGAAACTTAGATGTGTTCTAGAGAGGCTAAATTTTAAAAACATCTTTTCATGGTAAAAGGGAAGAAAAAGCTTGCATTCATTGCTTTTTTATTCATAGAAATTGTTTAAAAACCCACATGTATTTATTCTATGGAGATTCAGGTGTTTCAAATCCTTTATTTCAAGAGTGACTGTGATTTCCTGATGCATATTGATCAGAATAATGCAATTGTGATTTCACTTCTTTCAGTTAAGAGCATGCTATTTTAACTCCCTTGGGCTATCTGGGAACTTATTACATTCCTACCTAGCTGCTAGATAGCCTACAGCACTTGTAACTTTGCATCTCTGTTTCCTCCTCTATGAAATGGGTCAAATGAAAAATAATATAAATATTGAAAAAAATTAAATGAGCTAAATTAGAAAAAGTGCCAATGTCAGTGTTTGGTACACAACAGAAATTCAGTAAGTAAAATCTTTCCTTAGCATCTTCCACATATAGAGAGAAACTAAGTTGTTTTCAATCAGATACGAACTAAACTTTTACATTAAATAGACAAACCTTTATAGAATTCAGTGGGATGCAATGAAAATTTGGGACCAGACATAACCTGTGATTTTTCCATTTCTGTTCTTAGGCAAATAACTAACACTTTCAACTCAGCAGACATTAGTTCTACATGCAACTAATTTTCAATTTTCTTTGTAGTTGTAAGTGGGACAATATGCTCTTTAAAAAGCTGTATAAAAACATAATACCTCCTCAGATGGCTGAAGGAAATGAAAATAAATTATTTAAACTTTTATATTTATATTATTAAATTTTTAGAATTCCTAGTCATTCAAGAAGTTCTGACTAGAGATTTAATACATATTTTGGATCTAAAATGATTTCCCAGGTGTGCAACATATGGCAGATTACTTGATTAGAGGCCTCTGCATTCCATTTCTATATAGAAACAGTTCTGATTTTTAAAATCCAAGGAAGCTTTAGCTCTTTCTGTACACCCATGTTGCCTGAGGCATTTGATATTTCTATGGAAAAGTTGACTAAGATTAGGGCCAATATATCAATTAGTGTTTATTTTTTAAATAAATATGTGCTACTGATTTTTTTTTAGAGAGAGAGAAACATCAATGTGCGAGAGAAATGTTGACTAGCTGCGTCCTGTATGTACTGTGATTGGGAACAGAACCCACATATGGGCATGTGCCCTGACTGGGAATTGGACCAGAGACCCTTCAGTGCATGGGACAATGCTCAACCGAGACACAGCAGCCAGGATATCAATGTTAGTTTTTAATGATGATCATTAATGAAATAATTAGTTAACTTATTCTATATAATAAAAGGGTAATATGCAAATGTAGACTGAATGGCAAAACCAAACAACCAATCAAAGCATAATATGCTAATGATATGCTAAAGCTGCTCAACCACTCACTATGACATGCACTGACCACCAGGGGGCAGACAGTCACTGGTCAACCAGTTGCTATGACGTGCACTGACCACCAGGGGGTAGATGCTCTGAGTGCTACGTTAGCTTGCTGCTGGAGTCCTGCTGATTGGGACTGAATGAGATGGGCCAAACATGCTCTGGTGAGGTCCCTCAGCCTGGCCTGTGTCCTCTCACAATTTGAGACCATTTGGGGTACGTTGGAGAGCAGGTTTCAGCCCTATCTCATTGGCCACTCCCCTTAGTAGGGGGCCAGATGCAGGGCCCAAGGCTATCAGGACTGATTGGACCCAAGCCCATAGCAGGCACAGTGGGGCTAGGATGAATGGGAGTGGCAAGTAGGAGCTGCAAGTAGTGTTAGTCTACAGATTCAGCCCAATCCCTGCAGGCCACCCAGAGGAACCCCACCCATGCACAAATTTGTGCACCAGTGCTCTAGTATAGTATATAATTTCATTTAATAGTTCAACTGCTCATCACTTCATGTTAGAGTAATTACAGTTTATCAATGATAGTGTTAGCCCATTAGCAAAAGTATAAATACTTAATGAGATTCGTGGCTTCACTGCAGTTCCACAATTATATCCCAGCAAATCTTAAGAGGGAAACATCTTCTACATGATAAGCACAGTCCATGTTTTTGATAAAATCAATCTAGGAGAAATGTGAAGACATCTCATACTACTTGCAAGAGCATGTATAAAAGGAATGAAGAAAAATAAGGAAACACAGAACTAATGAACACGATGAAAAGCAAATTGTTAGGAACTGTTATGTCTTTTAGAAATTATGTTTATCTGCTAATTTAACATTTTGTATCCATATTCCAGGTCTTCCTCCCTCCCTTACTGAATTACATCTTGATGGCAACAAAATCATCAAAGTTGATGCAGCTAGCCTGAAAGGACTGAATAACTTGGCCAAGTAATACTTTATATTTTTTTCACAGCATTCTTTCAGTATAATGGCTAGGTATATTAGTGCCCACATGCTCAGATTTAGAAACATGATTGATTTTTTTATTGTACCACATTTTTGTTGTTGTTTACAACAACCTTAGACTTCAGCTAGCCCAATCATTGCTGTTAAATAAACACTAATGAAATCATATACTTAGTGTAATCAAGATCAACTTCTTAGTTTATGAATACCCTATTGTTGAAAAATTAAGATATATCTTATTATAAGGCATTCAATTAAATCAGTATGTTCATTCAATATGTTCTTAAGGTTAAGTACATTATAACACAATGTTTAGAATTTAAAAATGCATTAAAATTAAAGCTACCAGGATATATAAATATTGGACATCTTACACTACATTATAGAGTTAGAATACTACTAGTTATGATGAGATTCCCTAATGCTTATTCTGAAGAGTTTAAAATGTCTCTGGACCATTAATGTAGTATAAAATATTTTTTAAATGTCTGGACCCTTTTTACTCCCCACCCCCATAAAATGACCACTAATGCCTGTCTTGCTTTTTAACCTGACTTTAATCATTCATATATTTGCAACTTGGTTAAGTAATAAACAGAGAAGAGTGCTGGAAAACTTTCAGTTGTCTTCAAAGAACACTCTGTTCTTGATCCACATATATTGCTGAATGTTTTTACAGAGAAGCATGGTATATGCCAAATTGGCTCACTCCTCTTTTTGTATGTAAATTTAATGGCAGATAAATAGAATTCAGTGGGATGTTCAGTTCATCTTTGAGAACTATCTACTATGGGGTGGATATATAATGCAACTTTTCCTATCTCTGTGGATATTTTTCAATGACCCAGTAGATGGAGGGCTGAAGATGAGCACATGCTAAGAAATCCTTTAATCAAAACCATTTTAAATACAACTTATAATGTAGAAAGTATTTTTCAAAATAGTATGCATCATCCACCTTTCTTTGTTGATTTGATCTCTTCAGCTGCAAAACATATTGGAACATATTGCAAGGAAAATATTCCAATGAGATATTGTGAACAATGGGAGAGAAAATAGTGTGTAAAAAAATAAAAAAGACTTTTTTTTTCAGACAGATTTCCCTTTTATTACACACACATACATACACACACATATGTCATCATATATATCAATATGTATTATTACATCATCATCTCTCCCTTACAAAGTATGATAATCTTCAATGAAAAGAATCATGGATTTTTTTTACTTATGTGTCCTCTGCCCTCACAAGCTAGGATAATATCTTGAACTTATTAGGTTCTCAAATATGTAAGTAAATTATTTAAAAACTGACGTTTTCTTGAATAAATTATTAGGGATAGCACATTCTAAGAAATATGTTATCCCAAAATGGACATGGGATTTAGAATATTATAAGAAATAGGAGATAAGATTTTGAAATAAAAAAAGAAAAAGCTAGAAATAAGAGACAAATGCCTAAAACTAATGGAGAACAAAAATATTCTTTTTTTAAAAAATATATTTTATTGATTTTTTACAGAGAGAAAGGGAGAGAGATAGAGAGCTAGAAACGTTGATGAGAGAGAAACATTGACCAGCTGCCTCTTGCACACCCCTTACCGGGGATGTGCCCACAACCAAGGTACATGCCCTTGACCAGAATCGAACCTGGGACCTTTCAGTCTGCAGACCGATGCTCTACCACTGAGCCAAACCGGCTTTGGCGAGAACAAAAATATACTGAGTCAATATTCCATGTTAAGACTCTATAGCTAAAATAAACCAACTCTGCTATTGATTGTCTAAAATCAGTATACTTTAATCTGTTATTTCAACTACCAAATCATGGTTCAAATTTAGAGACTTTGGTTACCTAAGCCAGCACCTAATTCTTAAATGGGCTCAAAAGTCAGAACTAGCTAACGGCAAGTAGATACTATCCTATAAAATGTGCCCACGTCTCCTTCATTGCATTTAAAGAAGCCCAATAGATTCTTCCTCTTTCTCTCCCTTGGAGCTTTCTGGATTTATTCCAATATCTTATTGTCTAATCTCTAGAGATTTAGGCCAGAGATCAAAGTCAGAAACCAGAGATGTTGGGACCAGCCACATTCTGACAGAAACAGATGGTCATTGAAGTATTCTTCCTAAATAGTATAAGATACAAATTATGCTAATCTTTCTGGAAGGTAGGTTTATTGACTCATTAGAACCCTGTACATTTTATTTCCAACAAATAAATTTATGTGCTAAATTTACAATTGCTTAATTTCCATCGTAACCAAAATGATAATAGTATTTATTTTATTTTTCTCTCAAATGAATCCACTATGTTCATTATATGGAGGAATCACCTTAATGGCTATTCATTGATTATTTCAAGCTCTATGCTAGTACTGAATATACAAAACAATCCCTTTGCTAAAGAAATACATACAAATACACAGTCCTTTGAGTTTTACAAGAAGGTGACAGCATTTGAGCATTTTTCACTGAGGTACCAATTCAGTCTGTTACTGTCAGAGGAATTTTAAAGAGGGTAACTCTAACCTGAAATATTCAGAAAAACTGGGCTTTGTCCAAGTTAAGGAAATTTGAGGGGGGAAAAACACACTCTAAACAGAGGGAAGAGTAAATGCAAAACTGAAAAATGTCCTTTTGTGTGACTCAGTTAATCACGTGCCTGTGAGAAGGCATCCATGTGTGGTAAATCCCCTTGTTTTCTCTTTTCTGTTGCAGGTTGGGACTGAGCTTCAACAGCATCTCTGCTGTTGACAATGGCTCTCTGGCCAACACTCCTCACTTGAGAGAACTTCACTTAGACAACAACAAGCTTATCAAAGTGCCTGGTGGGCTGGGTGAACATAAGTACATCCAGGTAATGCAGTGCAACTAACTATTGCAAATAACATCTAGTAAGCAAAGCTTCTTCACTGGGATGCCAGAGGTGGGAAGCTCTGCTTAGAAATTATTTTGCTATGTTTCCACATAAATAGTCATTCTAGTTTTATAAAATACTAGTGTCCCAGTGCATGGATTCATGGACATTGAAAGGCAATTAATTAGAAGAAATATTTTAATATTTCTATTCGCCCTTTCTCTATAATAGAAGTGTCAAACAAATTTATAATCGATAATGATAGATCAAAACACATGTGTGTGATTGGCACCAGTTGGAACTTTATAGGTATCATGCATGTGCCAATCAACTTAGCCTTTTATCTATTGATATATGTATAAAAGGCTAATATGCAAAGTGTCCCCCCCAAAGTTCAACCAGGAGACCAGGAGTTTGATCGCTTACTATGATGTGCACTGACCATCAGGGGAATGAAGGAAAGCCCTAGCCAGCAGCTGGAAGCTGGAGAAGGAAGGCCCTGGCTGGAAGCTGGCAGCTGGGGAAGGAAGGGCCTGGCTGGCGGTCAGAAGGCTCAATTGGCCCTGATCGTTGGCCAGGACTAGCCATGCACATATTTTATGCACTGGGTCTCTAGTACCCTATCTAATAAAAGAGTAATATGCAAATTAGCCATCACTCCCCTACACCCACAAGCCACGCAGACTAGTCAGTCAGGAGTGAGTTTGCAAATTAACCCAAACAAGATGTCTGTAGCCATAGAAAGGACAGGAGGGAAACTTGGGTTTCCTTGGCGATGGAGGAAGCCAAGCTTTCTGTACAAGCTGGTTGGCCCCCGCCTCCTCTTAAGGCTACACGTTTTAATTATAGAAGATAAATAAATCTCAGATACCAGGGCCTCTTCTTGGGTCACCAGGGGCATGGCCAGCCTCACAAACCACCACAGGCCCCTTGCCCAGGCTGCCCCATGCCCCAATGGAACCCTAACCCTGATCCAGGATACCCTTCAGAGCAAACCAGCTGGCCCCCACCCATGCACAGGCCTCTGTCCTATCTAATAAAAAAGTAATATGCAGATTGACCATCACTCCAATATACAAGATGGCTGCCCCCATGCGGTCAAAGATCCTGCCCCCATGTGGATACAAGATGGCCACCACAAGATGTCCAGCAGGGGAGGGAAGTTGGGAGGGACCAGGCCTGAAAGGGAGGGCAGTTGGGGGTGACCAGGCTGACAGAGGAGGGAATTTGGGGCAAACAGGCTGGCAGGGGAGCAATTAAACATCAATCAGGCTGGCATGGGAGTGGTTAGGGGTTGATCAGGCTGGCAAGCAAAAGCAGTTAGGGGCAATCAGAAAGGAAGGCATGAGAGAAGTTGGGAGCCAGCAGTTCTGGATTGTGAGAGGGATGTCTGACTGCTCATTTAGGCCAGTTCCCACCAGGATCAGGATCAGGTCTAAATGGGTAGTCAGATATCCCTCGAGGGGTCCAAGATTGGAGAGGGTGCAGGCTGGGCTGAAGGACACCCGTTTCCCCCCGCATGAATTTCATGCACCAGGCTTCTAGTATACAGAATAAACTTGGGTGATTAGGCCTGCTTTCTGCTTTAGCAAAAGATTTTTCAGCCCAGTTGAAGTACCTCAACTTCTCTTTCAAGTAATTGTTAGCAACACAGCAGTAAATATCAACATGAAGCAGATTATTATTGTAGCTCATGCAAGAATAACAAAAGGTAAAATATTTAATTGTAGTAGTGTTTCCCTATAATCTATACAGTGAGAAAACGTTAACTCATTTTAAAGATCTGCTATTTCTTACTTCTTTTCAGTTGAGTCAAGTTTCTAAACTTTCTAAATCTCCATTTTCCAGTTAATAAAAAAAAAAAGGATTCTAGCTGAAACCAGTTTGGCTCAGTGGACAGAGCGTCAGCCTGCGGACTGAAAGGTCCTGGGTTCGATTTCGGTCAAGGGCATGTATCTTGGTTGCGGGCGCATTCCTGGTAGAGGGTGTGCAAGAGGCAGCTGATCAATGATTCTCTTTCATCGATGTTTCTAACTCTCTGTCCCTCTCTCTTCCTCTCTTTAAAAAAAAATCAATAAAAATATTTAAAAACAAAAACAAAAGTATTCTACTGAGTCTCCTATCTACTCCAGGAGTTTTGTGAGGATCAAATGATATGAGGAACAGGAAAATGCTTCATGAATATTTGGTTAAAGTGTAAAATGTTTGCAACTGGCTATAAAGCAAGTAATGTTTCTGGGAAGAAGAAGCTCCAAGGAGGCTAGTCCCTAGGGAGAGGAAGCCAGGTTTTGCTACATGACGTCATTACCCACAGCCACTGTTTCTGAACTAGGCTGACCTGTGGGCTGCATTCTGCACCATGGCATCTGGGCAGCATTGGTTGCGATTTGGTGGGGTATCACTCTGCGGGGGTGGCGGGGCCTGTGTCTCACTTGGAGGAAGCCGTGTGCTGGTTTCTTGGTGCCTGGTCTGTGGTGCCATTTATTTTTAAATGGCCAGGGTGTGTCATGCCAGCTCCTGCATTGAGTGTTTGCCCCCTGGTGATCAGTGTGTTTCATAGCTACTGGTTGGACCCTTAGCCTTTATATATATAGATAGCTTCAAATGATTTTTTTTTTAAATTAAGGCTATTGCCTTGAACTTACTATAATGCTTGATTCCAGAAAGTAATATTTTTTCTGAGGTAGATACTTTCAAGTCACTGATAAATGTGATACCATATACTGGTTAGAGAAGATGATATAATCTATGATGCACAGATATGAAATAAAATATTATGTTTAACTTTTAGCTTCAGCATATGTCATATAGGTCAAAAGGGAATGTTTATGTAGCAATGTGACTGAATTAACTTTATATAAAATATCAAGTTAATCCTCAAAAGAATTAGAGGACATGGTTCAATCACCCGTTGTGGTAATAGAGCATTAAATTGTTTCAGAGATTTACATAGGTACTTCATCCAACTTTGGTGATTCAGAAACTAAAACTTGACACTGACACTATGTTTTGGTAAAACAATTTTACAAAGTTGCCCTTTAGATAATCTAGTATCTCAACTTTATTAGTTTGTTCATATGTTCATTTTATCTTTTTTCCTATAGGCACCATGTGATTTCAACCAACCTACATCTTTTTCTATAAGTTTATAGTTTAATTAGAGGCCCAATACATGAAATTTGTGCATGGGCGGGGTGGGATTCCCTCAGCCCAGCCTGCACCCTCTTCAATCTGGGACTCTTCGGGATCAGGCCTAAATCAGCAGTCAGACATCTGTCTCACAATCCTGGACCACTGGCTCCTAATAATTCACCTGTTTGCCTGCCTGTTCACTCCTAACTGCTCCCCCTGCCATGCTGGCCTGGTCACTCCTCCTGCCCTTCCTATAGGCCTGGTAATTCCCAACTGCCCCACTCTGCTGGCCTGGTCACACCACATAGCCTGCTGTTCAGTAGACTGGTCATCCCTCACTAACCCCCTTGCCGGCCTTGTTGTAGGCAGCCATCTTTTAGGGTGTGATGGTCAATTTGCATATTATCTCTTTATTATAGAAGATTATATAGTTGATCAACATCAACACAATCCAGTTTCAGAACATTTCTATTAACCTCAAAATATTTTCTTAATATCTAGTCAGTTCTGAATCTCATCCTCAGACACAGGAAATCATTCATCTTCTTTCTGTCTCTATGAATTTGCCTTTTATGGACATTTTATGTAAATGTAATCATAACAAAGTGTGGCTGTGGTGTCTGGCTTTTTTAAGGACATCCACTTCATAGCATCTGTTACACTTTCATGTTCACTGGTGAAGAGCATTCCAAAATGGGCATGATACATTTTGTTTGCTAGTACACCTGTTTTTAAAAAGTATGTTGCCATTGATTTTTTTTAGAAAGAGAGGAAGAGAAAGGGATAGAGAGATAGAAACATCAAGGAGAGATGAACATCATCAACTGGCTGCTTCCTGCATGCCCCTTATTGAGATTGAGCCAGCAACCTGGGCATGTACCCTGGCCGGGAATCAAACAGGTGACCTATTAATTCCTGGGTTTAATGCTCAAAGTCTAAGCTACACCATTCAGGCATACACCTTTAGTTTCTTTAGCTTTTGATTATGTTTTGAAATGGGAAGTGAAGGTTCTCTAATTTTGTTTTAGTTTCCCAAAATTGTTTTGGCTACTTTTTGTTTTTTTTGTTTTGTGTGTGTGTGTGTGTGTGTGTGTGTGTGTGTGTGTGTATGTGTGTGTGTGTGTGTTTGCATTTCCATGTAATTTTAGAATCAACTTATTCATTCCTATTAAAGTAGTATATTAGGACTTTATAAAAAATTAAAGAAGATAAAATAGAGATATTACATGCTTGTTAATTAGGAGACTCAATATTATCAAGATAAAAGTTATCTATTAGTTGATCTAAAAATTCCACACCATCCCTATAAAAGTCATGAACAAAATAGAAAAGGTTTTTTTTTTTTTTAATGGAGCTTTTATTCTATATGAAGAAAACAGACAAAAATCTAAATAAATACATAGTGTTCTATATAGTGATAATTGCTATAAAAAAAGTGAAAAAAGAAAAAAAGTGTAATAGCAATAGAAAATGGCAGAATGGGGTGTTTGGGGAAGACTTTCCTGCTAAGGGGAAATTAATTACATGAGAAAGTAAGCCTGGCAGGCAGCTTGGAGAAGGTTATTGCAGGTGGAGGAAGCAGTGCATGCTGGCTTGGAGGAGGAACCATCTTATCTAATAAAAGAGTAATATGCAAATAGACCATCACTCCAACACATAACAAGGCCACCCCCATGCGGTCAAAGATGGCTGCCCCCACGTGGACATAAGATGGTCACCACTAGATGGCCTGCAAGGGAGGACAGTTAGTGGGGACCCAGACCTGCAGAGGAAGGCAGTTGGGGGGAACAAGGCCTGCAGGGGAGAGCAGTTTGGGGGGACAACGTCTACAGGAAAAGGCAGTTGGGGATGATCCAACCAGCAGGGAAGGGCAGTTAAGGGTGACCAGGCTGGCAGGGGAGGGCAGTTAGGGGCAATTGGGCTCTCAGGGGAGCAGTTAGGCATTATTCAGGCTGTCAGAGGTGTGGTTAGGGGTGATCAGACTGGAAGGCAGTCAGGCAGGCGAGTGGTCTGGAGCCAGCAGTCCTGGATTGTGAGAGCGATGTCCAACTGCCCGTTTAAGCCCTATCCCACTGCCAGTCAGACATCCCTAAAGGGTCCCAGATTGGAGAGGGTGCAGGCTGAGCTGAGGGACACTCTTTCTCTCATGCACAATTTCATGCACTGGGCCTCTAGTGCCTTTTATATTAGAGAAGCAAGTAGGCCAGGGTAGTTAAATTGAACCACCCTGAACGGAGATGAGGTCAGAGCATAAGCATATCAGATCATGTAGGATTTGGATGCCAATGTGAGAACTTTGGATTTTATTCTGCATGACATGAGAATCCAGTGGGATATGAATACAAAGAAGATATAAATTGACTTTGTTTTAAAAGTAATTGCTTTGTGAACTAAAGAAAAAAAGAAAAGAAAGAACAGACTTTAGGAAGGCAAAAGAGGAAGGAGGAAGAACATTCTGTGCAACTTCAATAACACAGAAGAAGATAAGGCAGCTTTGAAAAAGGATTTGGAAGTAGACTTGGGGAGAAGAACTGGAATATATATATATATATATATGTGTGTGTGTGTGTGTGTGTGTGTGTGTGTGTGTTTTACATTTAAAGCAGCAGGATTTGTTGATGATTGGGCAGAGAGTATAAGTGAAAGGACAGAGATAGGATAATGACAATGTTTTTAGACTGAGCATCTGAAAAGATTGAAATACCATATACCAAAATGAGGAGACTAAGGAAGGGAAAAGCAAGGTTTAAAACAAAGAGAGAAATCAAATTTTTATTTTAAGAAGTATTACAGTATTTAAACTGAAAGATGAAAATACTGAGAGGAAAAAAAAGAGTATTTACATGAATAGCCTCAATATATTCAGAGGAAAATAACTGTTTTCTATTATTTCATGTTGCAGGTTGTCTATCTTCATAACAACAACATCACTGCAGTTGGAACTAATGACTTCTGCCCACCTGGATACAACACCAAAAAGGCTTCTTATTCAGGAGTGAGCCTTTTCAGCAACCCAGTTAAGTACTGGGACATTCAGCCAGCCACCTTCCGATGTGTCTATGTGCGATCTGCCATTCAGCTAGGAAACTACAAGTAACTCCCAACAAAGCCCTCATTTTTATAACCTGGAAAAATCCCATTAATGCCATTGCTCAAAAAAGAAAAAAAAAAAAGAAGAAAATGAAAGCCATATAATGAAATCCTAACTGCAATGTGGATGTTTTTCCCACATGACTTATCATGCATAAAGCCAAATGTGCAGTTAAAATGACTGCCTACAATAAAAAAAGTTTTGCCTGTCATTTCAGAATCCTTTTTTGAAGCTTTCTATTGATGTTAACTGAGCTATTGCATATAATTATTAGTTCACTAAATGTAAAATTTGGAGAAAATATGTATGTCCAAAATTTAGTAAAGTCTTTATTTTTAAAAAATAATTTTTAGAAGGAATAAAATTTTAAAAGTAATCAATCTTCTGTAACTTATAGGATGGTTAGTACCTTTGGCATAAAATCAAAAGTAAAGCTCTAGCTTTGTATTTATTCCCATTATTACTGGAAAAGCCTCATTTGAATATGTAAATTCAATATAGGCTATGTAAAATTTTCACTGTCATTATTTTGAAAAAAATAAATTCACAAGTTCACATTCAAAATATTACTATGGTATAAAAGTGTAATTGTAAACCTTCCTAAACTTAATTTTCTTACAAAGTAGACATTGCTTTCTTGATATAAATAGCATCTTGTTTTAAGTTCTTAGATATTTACTCTTCTTCTGTCCTTTAACATTTGAGTATTGTGACTTAAGTCATCTATATTCAATGTCACATTGATAAAACACAAAACTGACTTTTTCTGAGTGGTCTAGAAAACTGATATATTATAGTTACTAAGATACTAAATCAGCTTTAAAACTCCCATGTATATAATTAGGCTACTTACCTGAATATTTCTATAATTACTAGACATATTTATTGCATCTAGTTAAACATTCTATTGATTTTAGAATTTTTTCTGCAGAGTTTAGAAACAACTATCAAAGCAGACCATTCAACAAGCGTAGGGAATGGGATGATTTACCAAGAGTAAATATTTATCAAAAAGTGTAGTTATGCCATCAGCATCTAATAAGTAAACATGGGAAGACAGTTTGTTTCTTCTACAATGTTGGATGTTTTATGGTTGTATATACTGAAAACTGAATCCAAACTGCTTTAAACTAAACTAAAAAAAAACAAATAATAATAATAATAATAATAATAATAATAGCAATACAAAATATTCCTGCTGTTAGGTGAACCATTATCTCCAGTTTGATCTGAGTGTCTCAGCAGTTCTTTCACTGCATTTTCTGGCTGGCTTCTCTTATGGTTGCAAAATAGAGATCTCCCCCATTATTTATTTCATTCGGGACAGAAAGAACATTAGCACGGTATTTCCAGGAAAAGTCATGAGATTCTCTCTGCTTATTACATACAAACTTCACAACACTGTATGTCAATGAGCAAATATTTCTACTCCTATTTTACAGTAATGTAAACTTAAATTAGTAGAAATAACTTTCCTGTATTTAAATACCTGATAAAGACCTGGCAACAGAGCTTTTTCTCTGTTTCTTTGTACAAGGCAAGATTTGCTAGAAAACTGAATTTACCACCAGAGAATTCACATGAAAATAACTTTTTGAAGGGACTATTATAGGGTGTGCGGGGCATCAAACAAGGGATGGTGAGGCACCCAGAGACTAGCCACTGGTGGAAAGCCATTCCCACCACATAGCCGAGTGAACAGGGGAAGAAATTGTGTTTCTGGAGCCAAGTGAAAGGACAGCTATGGAGGACATTCCTGCCCAAGGAGCCACGTCCCTGAAGGAACACAACATCTGCCAGAGGTGAGGTACTGAAGCAGGATCTACTTTTCCTAATACAGATCCTCCCACTGTTCAAACCTAAAGGAAAGACAACCATGAAGAAAGCCAGGTAGATAAAGTCTTGTCCTGGAGCAGGCCAGAGAAGAGAGGAAAATGGATCTGGTGGAGGCACTTGAGGAATAACCAGCTCAAACATTCTAATTCTAATGGTAGGGATAGTGAACAAATTCTACCAGCCTAAGATAAGAATTACACTCACATCATATGTTATCCCAGGCACATTTTTCTGAACCACAGTTACTTTAGACTTTTTTTGTTAATCAGAGGTCCTAATGAATAAAAAAGCATATATTTGATGAAACTTTGTCAGATGATTAGCTGAATCTGGTTTTCCATTCTGAACACGAAGCTATTTCTATAATGGCTTTGACTAAAACAGAGTTTACTCATTTAAATAAGTATGGTTCATATTAAAAAAAGTATAAACAGAAAACCTACATGGTCATTTATGTATTATGCAAAAATTTGGCAGAAAACAAAAATAATATTTGAATAATGAGAATCATGGTAATTGATGCACAGAGCTCTAAGCTCTTAAAGTCATATTTTTCTTTTTACCAGTTACTGCCCCAAATGTACAGAGCTATGTATTAGCTATTTAACTTATCTGGACTTTCATGAAATTATTTTATTGGTGGTATTTATTCATAGCCTTGTATCAGCAGTAACAAGGAAGGCTAATTATTGATTTAGCATAATTCATTCATTCATTCATTTATTCATTCATTCAATAAGCTAGACATAGCTCCTAGTGGAAAAATGAAAACAACAATAGATTTTTGTTTCTGGAGTTTTTTGAGGATATACAAATGCCATCTTCTGTGCTAGGCTCTTTTTGGACCAGGCATTTATTTATCATAAAAATCCCACAAGAATATTCTATTCCCATTTCATAGATGATGAAACTGAGATATATAGGAAGCATAGAGTCAGCATTGTAACCTTGATGTGTGCTAATCCATTTAGGTTTGGCCTTAACTTTTGGAATAGTTTATACAATTCATAGCATTGTCAAACCCAAAGGAAGAAGTCTTAAAACACTAGGAAGGGAATATATTCATGGTTCTTAGCAGTTCTTTAGCATTGTGTTAATAGGTCAGAGCCTTGAGGTTCAGGTGCCATCAATATAATAACCGTCCTTTCATTGAATACCATCTTAACTTATTTAACACTTACAATAGTCCTATGGGCTATGTATAGTTATTCAATGTCCCTTTTACATAAAGGCAAAGGAAGCCCCAGAAGAGTGGTCAAGTGATTTTTCCATGGATACACAGCTTATAAGTACGAAAGACAACTCTTCCATCACTTCAATGTGTTGCCTTCTGCTACTTTAGAAAGAACGTACTTGTGTCTAACAATGTATATCAATGAACATTTACAGTATTTTTTTTGAAATATTGTGCAGAGCTGTAAAATAATGGGTAATCCCACCAGCTGCAATTAGTGCTATTACATTTCAAAAATGGTGAATTCATTCGTAAAAAATAGAAAATATTCTACAGTAATACTGCTTACTTTTGAAAATGTTCTGCATCTATGTAAAAGTGTCCTATATCCACTAGCTGCACATGTTTATGGAGCATTAAAAATGTGATAGAACTAAATAACATTTTAAATTTTATCTAATTTCAATGCATTTAAAGTTAGTAGGCTTGTATAGTTACTTGATATCACATTGAATATCACATTATAAATACTCCCAATGAGTTTAAATATGACTTCCATAATACAGAGTGGATTTCTATTCATGCAAAAATATTTACTAAGCCTGTGCTGCATATTGGGGATATAATTATAAATAACATGCCCCTTTTGACTTTGAGGGATCTTAAAGGACACAGTCATGTAAGCAAATAATACAAATATGAAAGGATAAATTTTATCATAGTAATATAAGCAAGTTACAGCAGAGTTCAAGGAAAGGGTTATCAGTTTTGCCAAGGGAGCAGAATACACACAGAGAAACATGGGAGACTTCACTGAGAGGGTGGATGGTTGAGGAGTCTTTAATGAGTATAAGAGTTCAACAGGGAAAGGGGCTGCTCCAGGCAGAGAGTAAGTTCAAAGACTCAGAGGTGTACCTGGGCAAGTCTTCTCTGGTGGGCTGGCATAAAGGAGTGCTTACTCAGATACTTTGCTTTCTATGAAGCCCAGGCAATAGTTCACAGCCAGAGATGATATACACCGAGCTGAGGACAGCACTAGGAGGAGCCACCCTTTCTCCTCTTTCCACAGGATTGCTGAATCCCAAAATATCAATTTTCTAGAATGTTCAATAGAGGGAGAAACTGTCTTCTCTCTTAAAATCCCAAAGATCCTACACTCAAAGTGAAGAGAAGGTTTCTATTAGAAGGCATCCAGGTGTTCAAGGTCCATGTCATCACATTATAACAAAGTACCACAAGCTGGAATGGCTTAAAATGATATGTTTATACTCTCACATTTCTAGAGACATAAAGTTCAAAATCAAGGTGTTGATGGAACAATGCTCCCTCTGAAGTCTCTACGGGAGAATCCTTCCTTGCTTCTTCTGGCTTCTGACGGTTCCAGGCTTGTGACGTCACTCTAACCTCTGCCTCTATCGCCACATAGCCTTCTCTCTTCTTGTCTTGTGTGTCTGTGTCTATTCTCCTCTTCTTATAAGGACCATACCTATTTTTGGGTTAGTCTCCACCTCACTTCAGTAAGACTGTATCTTAACTTGATCATCATCTTAAATAGATCATCTTAACTTGATCTATTTTAAAATAAAGTCTCATTCACAGGCACTACAGGTCACATCTGCAACATATCTTTTGGAGGGACACAATTCAACTATGAACACTTTATTAAAAATTTTTTATTAAGGTATTATATGTGCCATGAACACTTTTTATCTTCATAAAAATGGATATTTATTTTTGTTCTTATTTTTACTAACACTTTTTGTTTGATCCTGTGTAGTTTGCAAAAGAAGTTAGAAAATGTTAATTTACTTCTGGCCCTTTGCTGTTGGGTAAGCCCCCTTTATACATTCATGCAACTTAGGCTGTAATCATGTCTGCCTGAAGGGCAGTCATTTTACCAGACCCAAATTTTTCAGAACATGGTATTTATGCTCTTTTAATGCATTCCTCTTCAATGATCTTGATCCAGCAATGAAACTTGCTGTTGTACTCATCACATAAATCATGCATAATGTGGGTCTCCACTTGCCTTCTGGTTCAGTCAGTGTGCTGAGCTGTGACTATTATCTTTCTTTTCTTTTTTCCTCCCTCCTTTTCTGTAATACTAGTCCAAGGAACTCCTTCATTCCACAGTTCATTGCAGCTGCAGATGCAGAATCTCAGGGCCTTTTTTTCCACACAAACAAAGAAACTCCAAATCCCTGAGTAAACTAAAAACACTATATGCAACAGTTTCTCCATCATACGAAGTTCCAAAACGGCCTGCTTCAAGACTCCCCCTTAATGCACAGAGAACAATGTCTCGCCCGGTCACAGGAGAGGAACCTTCCAAGGCAGACAAGTAAAATGGAGGAAAGTAAAGCAGGACTGAGAAATAGGAACGTGAGAGGGTGGGGTCTGCGGTTTTATATAAGATCGTCAGAAGAAAATTCTTCAGATAAAGTGACATTTCAGCAGAGATATTAAAGACTGAAGGGAGCACAACCAAAAGAAAGATCTCTAATGAGGAAGATGTGCAGAAGATCCTAGTAAACAGCAGAAAGGGTAAATGCAAACAGCGTAAATTAAGGAACGAGAGGCAAAATATAACATGAGGTCAGAGAGGTGATGATAACCTAAATCTTGCGAGCATTTTAGGGCGTTTTAAAGATGGCCTTTTCCTCTGAATATGGCAGGAAGCTATTGATGGGTTCTCAGTAGAGGAGTGACTTGCTTGAACTGTCTATGAAATAATATTCTGGCTGTATGGATTGTGGAGGGACAGTGATGGTCCCATGAGAGATATTTAGAATGTCACTACAATAATCAAGGCAGAGATAATAAAGGTTTTAACCTGGATGGTAGCAGAGGAGGTGGTGAGAAAAAGTCACAACGTAGAAGTACTTTGAAGATACAAGAGAAGTCAAATGGGGCATGAGAGAGAAACAATAAAGACAGAGATTCTTCTTCCAAGCATTTTGGCCTGAGCCACGGGAAGGATACAGTGACTGAGATGGGAAGACTGTGAGGAGGTTGAATTGGAGGGGATGGAAATTAACAGTTTAATTGTGGATGTGCTCCTTTTGAGAGGCCTCTTCAATCTCCATCTGGACGTTGGAAGGAGGCTTTTTGGATCTAGGCGTCTGGAGCTCCAGGGAGAGGGTGGGGTTGTAGGGATAAATCTGGAAGATGCCAGAATATAGATTGTCCTTCTTTATCAGCGCATAAATGACTTAACATAACTCAAACTAAGCAATCATACTGTACAGTGTTAGCAACACATTTTTACAGGCCCAGTTCTGGCCTTTGCAATGTTCTTGTGGTTTCTAAGATAAATAAACATATTATATGTTCTCCCTCCCCAAAGCCTTTTCAGAGATCCTGTCAGCATTTCCAAAACAGTTCTTACTTGAGCAACACGAAGAAAGAAAAACCTCCTGAGGAGAAAGGATTTGATTGTTTTGTAAAATCTCTGTTTTTCTCTTATAAGTTTAAAGTTGTATAAAAAGAATCTAGTTTCTGTTTCCCACAAGAGCTCACATTAACCAAAGTGCAGCTTGCCTTACATGTGGGTTGATAACTTGCTGGTGGTTTGACAGTTATGAATAGACTGTTCCAAATATTAGTAGGAAGCATATCGCTGAAACTGCAGAGTCGCAATGGACCTCAGGCATTGCACTAGCACATTTCACTAGAAAACCATGGACACATATGAATTTCACAGCTAGGCCACTATTCCATGGAATCCTAACATAAACAATTCTCTAATAACTTGTATTGGTCATAAATTTATAAACAATCCATATGGTCACTTGATGTGGCATTAATATGTAAAAAAATATAAAATATTTCTATTGAAATAATTGACTTTTTCCTATCTTTTCACACAATAGCTATGTGTGCATGCTGGGTTGGGATATGAAGGTAGGTGGGTATCCTCTTTCAATATTAACAGGCTCTTGAGAGAAAATAAAATTTAATTAATATAATTATTAATTCATTTATTCCTTTATTTCACATATTTATTGGGAACTTGGATTGTCACAGGAACTATGCTAGATCTGGAGAAAATTAAAATCAAGGAATGTATATTTTCTTCCCTGTAATAAAAACTGCAGGATGTGAAAGTGAGATATTATTTCAATAAACTTTAAAAATGAATGAATGAAAAGATAATATCTGAGATGGCTCTGAGAGGAAATGAAAGTTAGAAGCATTGTATACCTGTTCATGATTAAGAATTATAATGTTAGAAAAATTTCCTGTGGCTGTCCTTGACTTCAGAAAAGAACATCTGGAACACTGTAAGAAATACCAGGCCACCTACAGATCACACATCTTTTATGGAGGTCTAAAGAATGATAAACAAAGCTTAGGAGACCAGATGTTTCTGGACACTGTTATTGTGTTTAAGATCTTTCTCATGCCATCTGGACTAATAAATGATTTTTTTCCCTGAGGTATTTCTTTTCTAACTTCAGCAACTCTCAATTGTAAATATATTAGAAACCTATTTCCCTAAAATAGAGTTAGTAGACCTCTGAAAGGCTAGTGCCGGAAACTGCTACTCGGGAGTGAGATGTACAGTGGGCCCCGGGTTTAAAAGTAGCTGTCATGTTTACAAAGCCTCCATTCACTCCTGACCTCCAGTGTCCACTTTTCAACTCTTTTCTCAGAAAGAATGCCTAAGAATCTAGTTGGAAAAAGTTGGAAATGATGTCATTACTCTTTTCATAGGTAGCTAGAATTCCCTGACTTTGACACTTTCTATCTCTAGAAAGTAGCAAGCCAATTTGGTGTCGTTGTTTATTTTTCCCAGTTTTATTAATGTGTAATTGACATATAACATTATAGAAATTTAAGATATATAACATAATGTCTTGGAAATACATATCAAAATGATTTTCATACTAAATTGGGTTAATATACATTAGTTAATATTCTTTCTCTGTTTTTTCTTGCATTAGCAATAATAATAGTAATAATAATAATAATAATAACAACGCTATTTTGCAGTTATATGAAAACTCTTGGTTGGCAAGTATATTCACTAATATAATCTCATTGCTGTTTTACAACCAACAGTGCAATTGTTTGTATTCTGATTTTTTTTTAAAAAGGCAAGAAATAAATCGTGTAAAAGGGCTTCATAGACAGATGAGATTAAAAATGGCTTTAATCCATTAACATGGGACAGAGAATTGAGTTTCTAACAAGAGTTGGGAAAGCAAAAATTCTCTTTTCCTGCTCCAGATTTTTAATGGCATCCCCTCTACCCTTTCATTCACATACTCTCTCATTTATCAGCTAGAGGCCTGGTGTACAAAATTCGTGCACAGGGCCGGGGTGGTCCCTAAGCCCAGCCTACACCCTCTCCAATCTGGGACCCCTCAGGGGATTGGGCCAGACTGGCAGTTGGGCATCCCTCTCACAATCTGGGACTGCTGGCTCCCAACAACCTGCCTGCCTGCCTGATTGTCCCCTAACTGCTCCTCTGCCAGCCTAATAGACACCTAACTGCTCCCCTGCCAACTCAATTGCCCCCAACTGCCTTCCCCTGAGGACCTGGTCCTCTCCAACTGCCCTTCCCTGCAAGCCTGGTCATTTCCAAGTTCCCTCTCTTCCCTGCAGACCCGGCTGCCCCCAAGTGCCTTTCCCTGCAGGCCTGGTCACCCCTAACTGCCCTCTCCTGCCAGCCATCTTGTGGTGGCCAACTTGTGACCCCATGGGTGTGGCCATCTTGTGTGTAGGGGTGATGGTCAATTTGCATAGTACCTCTTTACTATATAGGCTTCCATCCTTGTTATGGCCTGAATGTTTGTGACACCCCAAAATTCCTATGTTGAAACCCTTATTCCCAATAGGACAGTATTAGGAGGTGAGGTCTTTGGGAGGTAATTACCATAAGATAATGGTAATGAGGGTAGAGACTTGAGTAGGATTAGGGTCTCCAGAGATCTTGCTTTGCTCTGTTCTCTGAAATGTGAGGACACAATGGGAAATTGGCCATCTGCAACCTCGAAGAGGGTCTGTATTATAACCCAATTGTGCTGGGAGCCTGGTTTTGAATTTGCAGCCTCCAGAACTACAATAAATAAATGTATTTTGTTTATAACCACCCAGTCTATAGTATCTATATAATAAAAGCCTAAGGTGACCATTATGAATGAACAACCAGAAGGACCAGTCAACCAGTCCCAATGACATGCACTGGCCACCAGGGGGCAGACACTCAATGCAGGAGCTGCTTCTATGTGGTTAGTGAGCTCCCACAGCCAACTTCTCACAGCCAGCCAACTTCCCACCATCCCTATCCTCCCCACCAGCCAAACTCCTGCATCACTTCCCCTCTCCCTGCCAGCCTCCTCATCAACCCAATTGTGGGGACGGCAGCTGGCCAATCTCCTAGGGCCCCTCCCTCTGGCTAGCTCTTTCCCATGGCCAGCTGGCTCCTCAATAAGCTTTGATCACCAGCCAGGCCAAGGGACCCGACCAGTGCACGATTTTGTGCACCTAGCCTCTAGTTTTATTATAGTAGTCTGAATTGACTAAGATTATTTTCACCATCATAAAGTTTCACATTCTTGCTACATGAATGGGTCAAAACAGAGCATGTCAGAGGTAGAGCTGTGGAGCTACTGCAGGTTTAGGTTTCAAAGCTGAGGGAGAGTGTGCTCTGGGGTCCAGACAGCCCATGGGGAAGCCTGGGCTGTAGCCTCAGACTCTAAATCAGCTTCCAAGGCAGTGAAGAACAACCATAGAGAGGAAAAGCCTGTGGTCAGAGTGACCTGTGGTCTCTGCTTTCTTGTTTACAAGTTGTGTGATATGAAGCATATCAGTTTATCACTGTAAGCTTAAAATTGGGAATAATAATAAACACATCTACCCATAAAAGTTACTTAGGACAATTAACTGATATACTATTCTATACATATAAAAGGCTATATATATAAAAGATTATTTCACAACTGAATAACAGAATGAATGACTGAACAGCTGTGTGGGGCAACCAGACTGGCAGGGAGTTAGTGAAGGGCAAAAAAAAAAAAAAAGGCTAAGCAGCAGGCTGTGTGGGACAACCAGACCAGCAGGGGGTTAATGAGGGGCAGCAGGCTGCATGGGGCTACCAAGCCTGCAGAGGGGGGTAGTTGGGGGCAACCAGGCCAGTGGGGGTGGGATTGTTGGGGGTGACTACACCTGCAGAGGGGATAATGGGGTGGCCAGACCAGCACAGGGGGAAGTTAGGTGAGATCAGGCAGGCAGGCAGGCAGGTGAGCAGTTAATAGCTAGTGTTCCCAGATTGTGAGAGGGATGTCCAACTTCCAGTTTAGGCTTGATCCACAGGACATCCTCTGAATCTATGATAGTCAGACATCCACCAAGGGGCTGAGGGGACACCCCCCCCATGCACAAATATTATGCATCTGGCCTCTTGTATGTAAATAATAAAGTATCCTGTAATATAAAATA